GAAAAAAGGGAAAAAAGGGGAAAAAATGAGAAAAAGGGAAAATAAAGGAAAATAATGAGAAAAAAAGAAAAAAGGGGAATAAAGGGGAAAAAATGGGGAAAAAAAGGAAAATAAAGGAAAATAATGAGAAAAAAAGAAAAAAGGGAAATAAAGGGGAAAAATGGGGAAAAAAAGGAAAATAAAGGAAAAGAATGATAAAAAAAAGAAAATAAAGGAAAATAAAGAGAATAAAAGAAAAGAAAGGAAAATAAAAAGGAAAAAAGGAGGGAAAAAGGAGAAGAAAAGAGAATTTCCATCAGTCCCCGGGTTTGGGGCAGAAATTCCCATTTTTGGGTTTTTTTGGGTCCGAATTTCCCATTTTTGGGTCCGAATTTCCCATTTTTGGGTCCGAATTTCCCATTTTTGGGTTTTTTTGGGTCAGAATTTCCCATTTTTGGGTCAGAAATTCCCATTTTTGGGTTTTTTTGGGTCTCACCGATCTCCCGGTCCCGGAGCTCTGGGGGGGAAGATGGGAAAAAAATCAGCGGCAAATTCCTCATTAGGGTCGTTAATTAATCGCTAATAATTAATTAATTAATTAATTAATTAATTAATGAGCCGAAATTTCCTCACCCAGCGCCGCCGTCAGCTCCGCTGCCGGGGGGGAACAAAAATTCCTGAGATGGGAGGGGAAGGAGCCCCCAAAATTCCCCAAAATTCCCCAAAATTCCCCAAAAATTTCCCCCAAAATTTCCCCAAAATTTGGGGATTCGGGGGGGGGGAGGGGCACGAACCGATCCGGGCGTCCCGAGATCCTGGGGGGGAAAATTCGGATTATTGGAAATAAATAAATTCGAATTATTAGAAATAAATAAATTCAGATTATTGCAAATAAATAAATTCGGATTATTACTAATAAATAAATTCGAATTATTAGAAATAAATAAATTCGGATTATTAGAAATAAATAAATTCGAATTATTAAAGGAAAAAATTAAAATTATTACAAATAAATAAATTCAGATTATTACAAATAAATAAATTCGAATTATTAAAAGAAAAAAATTCGAATTATCCCAGAAAAAAATTCAAATTATTAAAAGAAAAAAAATCAAATTGTTCCTGAAAAAAATTCAGATTATTACAAATAAATAAATTCGAATTATTAAAAATAAATAAATTCAGATTATTACAAATAAATAAATTCAGATTATTAAAAGAAAAAAGTAAAATTATTCCTGAAAAAAATTCAAATTATTAAAAATAAATAAATTCAAATTATTAGAAGAAAAAAATTCAAATTGTTCCTGAAAAAAAATTAAATTATTACAAATCAATAAATTCGAATTATTAAAAATAAATAAATTCAAATTATTCCAGAAAAAATTTCAAATTATTAAAAGAAAAAAATTCAAATTATTACAAATAAATAAATTCAAATTATTCCAGAAATAAATTCAAATTGTTCCTGAAAAAAATTTAAATTATTAAAAATAAATTTAAATTATTCCTGAAAAAAATTCAAATTGTCCCTGAAAAAATTCAAATTATTACAAATAAAAAAAATCAAATTATTAAAAGAAAAAAATTCAAATTATTAAAAGCAAATAAATTCAAATTATTCCAGAAAAATTCGAATGATCCCAGAAGAAAACCCCAAATCGTTATTTTAGATCAAAATTCCAGATTTTTAACTGGAAATCCCAAATTTTGAATCAAAATCCCAAATTTTAAATCAAAATCCCAAATTCCACCATCCCAGCCCGTTGGGGATTTGGGATTTTGGGAATTTGGGATTTTTGGGATTTTTGAATTTTGGGATTTTGGGATTTGGGGAATTTGGGATTTTTGGGATTTTTGAATTTTGGGATTTTGGGATTTTGGGATTTTTTAATTTTGGAATTTGGGGATTTGGGGAATTTGGGATTTTGGGATTTTTTGAATTTTGGGATTTTTTTAATTTGGGGATTTGGGGATTTTTTAATTTTGGGATTTTGGGATTTTGGAATTTTGGGGATTTGGGAATTTTGTGAATTTCGATTTTGGGGATTTTTGGGATTTTTTTAATTTGGAGATTTTTGGATTTTGGGGATTTTTTGATTTGGGGATTTTGGGATTTTGGAATTTTGGGAATTTGGGATTTTGGGGATTTGGGGATTTGGGATTTTGGGATTTTGGGATTTTGGGATTTTGGGATTTTGGGATTTTGGGATTTGGGGATTTTGGGGATTTTGGGAATTTTTGAATTTTGGGATTTTTGGATTTTGGAATTTGGGATTTTTGGGATTTTTTAATTTTGGGATTTTTGGGATTTTGGAATTTTGGGATTTTGGGATTTGGGGATTTTTGGATTTTTGGATTTTGGGATTTTTTAATTTTGGGATTTTGGGATTTTTGGATTTTGGGATTTTGGGATTTTGGACTCACCCAGCGCCGCCCTGAGCTCCTCTGGGAAACCGAAGGGAATTTTGGGTTATTTTGGGAAATTTTGGGAAATTTTTGGGAATTTTTGGGGTTTTTTGGGAACTGAACCCACCCAGGTTTCTGTGGAGTTCGCCTGGAAAAAAAGGAAGGAAAAAACAAAGTGAAAATAATTAAAAATAATTTTAAAATATATAAAATAATAGAAAATAAATAATTTAAAATAATTTAAAATTATGTAAAATAATCTGAGATAATTTAAAATAATAGAAAATAATAATTTAAAATAACTTGAAATGATTTAAAATAATTTAAGATGTTTTTAAAATAATGGAAAATGATTTTAAATAATATAAAAGAATTTAAATGAATTTAAAATAACAGAAAATAGTTTAAAGTCATGTAAAATAATTTAAAATAATTTAAAATAATTATAAAATATCAGATGGGTTTGGGGACACAATGCTGGGGATTATTATTATATTTTTAATTTTTTATTTTTGTTTTTATTTTTATTTTTATTTTTAATTTTTATCATTTTTATTGTTTTGTCTTTTCATTTTTTCTTTTTTTTTAATTTTTAATTTCTCTTATTTTTCTTATTTTCCTTTTTCTTTTTATCTTACTTTTTTTCCCCAAATTTTTATCATTTTTCTTTTTTCTCTTTCTTTATATATATATATTTTTAATTATTATTTTTAATTTTTTTTTTTTTTAAGATAAATTTCCAGCAGAAAAATCCCAGGATTTTTTTATTATTATTATTTTTAAATTTTTTTTTAATTTTTAACTTTTCTTATTATTCTTATTTTCCTTTTTCTTTTTATCTTACTTTTTTTCCCCAAATTTTTTTATCATTTTTCTTTTTTCTCTTTCTTTATATATTTTTTTTTAAATT